TGTGGTGTGATGCCCGGCCGGAGGCCTCACGTTTCAGGGACTGGGAGGTAAGAGGGAACCTCACTGAGGGCCAGGGGAGCCTGGGGGGCCAACCCCGCTGTGACTGTCGGTGTCACTGTCCAACACGGTCCTGAGCAGGTCTGCCCTTTGCTTCCCCCCAGCAGGAGGCGGATCAGAAGCTGACGCACTCGGGGTGCCCGTCGCTCTGTCCTCTTTCGGGTCCTCAGTGAGGTCTCCTCTTTTTAAAAAATAGCCCCAAACGTCCTGACAGGAGCCATCACAGAGGGAGCGTCCGGGGAACCTGGCACTGGCCCCGTGCCCCTGCAATTAGAGAAGCGATGGGCGAGCTCCCGAGGGAGGAGCCGGGGCTGCCCTCGGCTGGAGCTTTGACCTTCCAGCTGGGATGGGTGGCCCGGGCCCTCCCTACGTCCGTCCCGGCAGTGGAGGCACGGGAACAGCCTGGCCGTGTCCTCGTAGCTCGTTTCCGTTCTGGCCTCTCCTGGTCTGGCTCGGAAATACTCTCCGTCTCCTCGGGCAGCTACTGCAGGGTGCTGGCGGAAGCCTTCCCCTGTGGCTCCTGGGAGGAAGGAAGGAAGGAAGACCGAGGTTCCATCCTGTTACCGGACACAGACCAGGCATTGGTGGTCTCCAGGACGGCGCCTGGCTGCCGCTGGGATGGCGGTGAAGTGGTTCATCCCGTTGGAAGCCAGCGCCGTTGAAAGGTAAAAGTAACGCTGCCCATGAGCCCAAGCAGCAAAAGCAAGGCACGCGCCAGGACCTCTTTAGCGTGGCTGATCTTTGAGGAGTCGGGTGATGCTTTCTTGCAGAGGACTTTGGGTCCTTAGGGCCCACACGTGTGACTGCCGGTCTCTCCGTCTGCAGGGGTGACGACGTCCAGGGTTTGAGTCGAGAATGACGCGTCGAGGGCTGGACTGCTGTCACCTTGGTGGCGGCTGGGGTGACCGAATGGCTGCGGGTGGCTCCTCCCAGGTTGGTACTGGAGGCGGGCAGGAAAGGGGGTACTGCGCCAGGACCCGGTTTCCGATTGGAACGGGGAGACCTCATTTCCCTGGCACAGGCTTCGGACGGTGGATGGAGCCCACGGTGAACGTCAGCCAGGGCCCTGTGTCTCTGCCCCGACCTTGGGTTCTTATCTACTAAGAAGCAGGCGGTGAGAAAGGGGCGCGTGCACATTTGAAGCGGCTGAGTCCCAGAGTCTGTGCGCGCGTCAAGGCCAAAGGAAGTAGGGCAGGGGAGCTGGGTCTCCCCTCAGGGCAGGACTGTGGCCTCCGGGCACGGCAGAGGTGGTGTCGCGTCCCAGGGCGTGGGCTGCTCCCTGAGTGACTGCAGCCTTGGGGAAAGGCTTTGGGAGGACCCCACACACGGGAATAATTGGACTAATTTGACATAAAGTCTGCACCACCTCTGACGCCTTCTCTGTGTCACATGGCAGCCCTCACAGGACTGGTGAAAGTGTCTCCCGATGTTGGGCGTATGGGTGCCATCTGCCCGTCAGTCTCTCCCAGGGGACCCCCCCCCTTCATTGGTTGCCGGGGGTGAAATCCCTGTGGAGGGTTATTCGGTAGGTGAACCTGGCATGGCCCTACAGCCCACGGTATTGTTGCACGAAGCCGCTTTAATAGTTAAAGTTACCTGGGGCTTCCAGGTGAAGCTGGCGGTCCGGGGGGTGGACACCCGGGCCCTTGGTCTACGGGGACATCCTGACCTCCAGTGATGCCCTTGACCTATGTGACGGGGCTTGGGTGGCTTCCGTCATTCCCGAGATGCTGATCTCTTCAGGGATGATCATTCTCTATGAAAATGCCCTGGCTGTCCACGGCTGCAACAAGTCATCTGAGCACTGTGGAACATCGTGAGCCGGTCATAAACCCAGGGACCCTGAAAATCGCAGGACATCCCAAAAGCTGCATCCAATAGCTGCTAGAGAAGTTTAAAGAAACCCTCAGAAATACAGGAACAAAGAAAAATTAGAGGACGGCTCAAAAGTATGGGGTTAATAACATCCCTTAGTTATTGCGGGGTGATCAGGTCCGCAGTCTCCTGAACGAGTGTGCAGCAGAGGCTAAATAAAAAGAGGCGAATGGAATGATTTCAGGGCTCCAGGAGGACCAAAGCCCTCTCATAGATTCCTAAGTCTCTCAGGGCTAAGACCATGACCTTCTCTGGGTTGCCCATATTTATTTGGTTATCAGAAGAAGGGAGGGGAGTACTCAAGAAGGGAGAACCACCCAAGGACTTCTCCAAGTAAGGTATGAAGTCAATCCACTGAAGAATGAGATGCCTGAGGCTACAGTCTTCATCTAGTTGAGACCTGATCCAGGTGTCCTTGGCTGTGATCTTGTCTTGCCCTTTGAGGCTTTCTGACTTCATCCACCACTACAGGTTTTAGTCGGGATTAGTGACTCACAGAGATTCACTTCCTATGAGTCCGCCACTTCCAGACAAGGAGCCTTGACCTTGGACAGATGCACAAGTGAACATGAAAAGATCAATTTAAGTCCTGCTCAGGTCTGCTTTGTAGTGGTCTCCATCACAAAGGGTATAAAAATGTACTATAGCAGAAAAAATTCTAACTCTAGTGACAGAATTCAATGCTCGAGTACAAGAGGCTGATCCCAGCACTCAGGAGGCTGAGGCAGGAGGATTGTTACAAGTTTGAGACCAACCTGGACTGCAAAGTGAGCTTGAGGCCAGCCTGAACTGCATAGCAAGACCCTGTCTCAAAAAAGACACACACACACACACAAAAAAGTGTAAGAGGCTCACAGAACCTCTTAAAAGTATGCAAAATTGATCAAAAAAATTAAGCATTAACTGTTCCTTTCAATAAACCAATATGAATTAGTAGTACAATTACCTTAGCTATCTTGTGTGTATGTGTGTATACATATATATTTTTTCCCCTTCCTTCTTTCTTTTCTCTTTTCCATCATCCCAGTTGAACAATTAACCCAGATTTTTATATCATGCAAAAGTTAGCCTTCAAATGCCAGGTGTGGTGGCGCATGCCTGTAATCCCAGCATTCAGGAGGCTGAGGCAGGAGGATCACTGCTAGGCTGGCCTGAGTTACATAGTGAGTTCAAAGCCAGTTTGAACTGCATAGCAATACCTTATCTCAAAAAACAAAAACAAAAAAATTAGCCCTCAAAACACTTAACAGAAACCTCAAGAGAGACAAGGAAGACAGCCGTGGTGAAGAGCCCAGAGCACAGCACACAGCTAATTGGAAGGAAAGATAAGCAAAAGGGAAAAACAAAGGCATCAGCACTGAAGACATAATGCCACCGCAGGACTCAGGAAACACCGTACAATGCAACACTAGTGTGGTCTCAACTCCCCAGTCAACGCCCAGGCCAGTGGACTGGGTTTGTTGATTTATTATTTATTAGTTTGGTTTGTTTGCTTTTTTTTTTCTTTTTTTCTGAGACAAGGTCTCATTATGTAGCCCAGGCTGGCCTCAAGCTCCACAAGAACGCTCCTGCCTCAGCCTCCTGAGTCCTAGGATTACAGACAGACATGCACCGCCATGCCTGGCTCTGAACATGCCTTTTGAGGTTTGCGTCAACAAGGGTTTCCAAGCACACAAAACACACACAGCTGGCCTGCATGAAATGCCCATGCCTGGATTCTAGATGTTGTATGCATAGAATGTGAAGGATGTGCTGTGGTAGGGCGCTTGCCGCATCTGCCCAAAGCCGGGGCTTCTGTCCTCAGCACCATGGAATGGGAAAAAAGGACAGGAAAACAATTTGAGTGCTGGTTGGTTCCTCAGTATTAAACAGCTGCAAAACATCTGCAGGTCCCGGCATTGCCAGCATTTCTGAGTGGCCCTCACCGGGGGTTTTGCTTGGCTGGATGCTCCGGGGACCTAGCCTTGTGGCCTTTTTAAATTAGGTGCTGGGGAGGGAACCCAGGGCCTCACCCATGCTAGGCGGGTGCTCTGCCACTGAGCGCCGCTCCCAGCCCTCCTCGCAGATGCTGCTGCTTCTCCTTCCTCCTCTTTTTCCTCTTTCTCTTCTCTTGTGGACAGATTCTCCCTGTGTAGTCCAGGCTGGCCTGAAACTTACTATGTAGCCCAGGCTGGCCTCAAATTCACAGTGATCCTTCGGCCTCAGCCTCCCCAGGGATGGGATTACAGACGTGCAGGATGTAGGGGCGGGTGTGTCCAGGTTATATGCAAATACTGTGTCACAGGGTGGGGCGCCCGGGAACCGATTCCCCCAAGGACAGCCGGCCGGGCTCTGCACCGAGCGATCAGAGCGATCGGGTCGGCTGCCCGGAAGGGGTGACCCAGCAGGCTGGGAAGGGGCTTCCGGGAGCTCAGGCC